TTCAGGTAGACGTTGTGATTGCCCGTCCAGTCGAAGGTGACCGCGTCGCCGGCGGAGTAGGACGCGTTTTTCGGGTTCGCGTCGATCTGCGCGACCCAGTCGAGCGCGACCTCCTCGGTCCACGTGATGGCGATCTTGCGCCCGTTCGTGCAGTTGGCGCCGACGCTCGACGCGTAGTAGGCGACGTCGCCGGGCGAGCCCGTGACCGTGACGGGCGTCGCGTCGCCGAGGTCCACGGCCCCCGCGAAGTCGCACGCGGTCCACGACGCCTCGTCGGCCATCAGCTGGACGTTGTGCGTGCCCGTCCAGGCGAAGACGACGTCGTCGCCGGCGGCGTAGGTCGCCTCCTTCGACTCCGCGTAGAGCTGCGCGACCCAGTCGAGGTCGACGGTCGTCGACGCCGCGTCGTCCGTCGACGCCGCGGCGTCGTCCGCGGCGGCGTCGTCCGCGGAGGCGGCGTCGTCTGTTGAAGCCGCGTCGTCTGTTGAAGCCGCGTCGTCGGTTGCCGCGGCGTCGTCCGCGGAAGCGGCGTCGTCCGTCGCGGCGGCGTCGTCCGTAGTCGGAGAGGGTGTTGTAGTAGGAGAGGGTGTTGTAGTAGGAGAGGGTGTCGCCGTGGGCGCGGGGACGGGCGCGGGTGTTGTCGTAGGAGAGGGTGTTGCAGTAGGAGAGGGTGTCGCCGTGGGCGCGGGGACGGGCGCGGGCGCGGGCGCGGCCGTCGGCGCGGGGACCGGCTTGCCGCTCGGCGCCGGGGTGCCCGTCGGCGCGGCCGTCTTCGCGAAGGTCGGCGCGTAGGTCGACGGCGCCGGCGTCGCCGACGGCTCCCAGGAGTAGATGAGGTCCTGGTCGACGTCCTTGCAGCAGTGGCAGCCCGAGCCCTGGGGCCCGTTGCAGCCGATGCCCAGGGACATGCGGCCCGCGAGGGCGTCGCACTCCTCCTGGGTCGCGACGCAGATGCCGCCGTCGTGGTGGTGGCACCAGGACACGGTGTGGTACTTGGCCGTGCCCCGCTCCGTGCCCGTGACGCACGTGCTCGCCGCGAGCTCGTTGGGGAAGTAGCCCGGGGGCAGCGCCGTCGGCGCGATGGACGGCACCGCGGAGACCTCGACGACCGTCGGCGTCGCCGTGCCGGCGCCGTCGTCGCCGGCCGCGTCGTCGCCCGCGGCGCCGTCGTCGCCGCACGGCGTCCACTCGCAGACCTTGTCCGCGTCGCCGAGGACGTCCGCGGCGTTGGCGCAGTCGTCCTCCGTGGCGAGCCGGCCGCAGCCCTCGTCGCCGTCGCAGGGCTCGCAGCCGTCGGAGTAGTCGTAGGAGTAGGAGTAGCTCGAGCCGTCGTCGTCGCCCGCGAACTGGGAGTTCGTGCCGCCCGTGTCGTAGTCCATGAAGTCCGGGTAGCAGTTCACGTACAGGTCGCAGGCCGACGTCGTGAGGTCGCCGAAGCCGAGGTCGGCGTAGTAGGCCGCGGCGTCCGCGTCCGCGCAGAGGCCCGTGCAGTCGTCGTAGATGACGACGATCTCGTAGCCGTCGTCCTCGCACGTGAGGCAGTCGAGGAAGGTCGAGGGGCTCGTCGCGGGGAAGTAGCCGCAGAGGCTGCAGGCGCCGGGCAGGGACGGCGCCCCGAGCACGCGGTCGTCGTCGCCGTCGTAGTCGCCCGCGTAGCACGTGTCGGAGTGCGTGTAGTTGGCGCACTGGGCCTCCGTGACGTCGTAGTTCTTGCTGCCGAGGCGGCTCGGGGCGCGGCGCGGCGCCGCGGCGGCTTTCGACGCCGCGTCAAAGTCCGCGGCGCGCAGGACGCCCGCGGCGGCGAAGCGCTCCTGGAGGACGGGGTGCGCCGTGGGCACGAGGCGCTTCCGCGGCGAAAAGGGCGGCGTTGCAGCAGCGCCGCACGCCGTGAGCAGCGCCGCGAGTCGGGGCAGCATTTTGCGCGTTGCCGCGGCGCCTCGGAGGCTCCGCGCGCGGACCCGCTCCCAGCGCTCCACACGCCACACGAGCGCTCCAGATCCACGGTGGCTGGGCAGCCCTCAAACTTTCCGCCGAGCCCAGATTGCCGACAACATCTTCTGTCGTTGTACTTTCAACCGAAGGCAGCCCCGATCGCAACGTGCTGCAGCCGCCGGTTGAGTGCATCGCAGCTCGCGCCTGCATCAATAGCCGCGCTGCTCATCGCTGCAGCGCCGTCGCGTAGATAAATAGCCCCATCGCTGCAGCGCCGTCCGTCGCATACGATCTCGCCCAGTGCGACAAGAACATGGGCTGCTGCAATTCGGCTCCCACGGCCCCGGAGAACATCATTCCGGACCCCGGCGAGGCCGAGCCGTGCACTTTCTCGCTGAAGTCCGCCGGCATGATGTCCAGCGACTACATCGCCTATCAAGGCGAGGAGACGAGCGACAAGGAGAAGAAGTGGTTCTTCGTCAACAAGACGGGCTCCATGTGGGGCGGCGACGCCGTCATCGAGATCGAGAACTTCGTGCGGGGCGGCAACCCGGAGAAGCCGAACCAGGGCGAGATCTCCTACCGCTGCGCCTTCGACAGTTCGCCGAACTTCCAGAAGCACTTCAAGGCGCCGTCGTCCGAGTTCTCGCGCTTCGTCGCGTTCTTCAGCAACGGCCAGGTGGACCTAGATGGAGAGGAGCCCGAGGACGCCATCTACTTCGAGCGCGGCGGCTGGGGCATGAACGACGGCGGGAACCGGCGGGTCATGAAGTGGAAGATGGAGACGTCGGCGACGATCCGGCCGATGGGCGGCCGCGGCGTCGCGTTCGGCGACCTCCTGCTCCACGTCTTCGCGCGCGGCACGTCCATCGCGGACTACGACTACCACCCGCCGTGCGAGGAGGACCCCAGCGGCCACTGGTCCAAGCAGGAGAAGGAGTACGTCGACCAGCTCTGCTACCAGGTCGTCCAGCGGAGCACGGGCACGGTCATGGCCATGTGGGGCGTCCCCGGCGACTTGATGACGGGCGGCGAGGACGTCGTCCAGCAGAACAACATGTTCCAGATGCACATGCGCGGCGGCTGGTTCTCGAGCGAGCCGCTGATCAAGACCGCGCCGGGGCCCGACCCGCTCCTCGCGCTCATGGTCGCCTACCTCTGCGCCTACGAGTACTCGCCGAAGGCCATCAAGCACGACCTGAGCTCGGACTTCCCCGGGTCGCCGAACGGGTGCCCGGGCTGGGGCTAAGCGAGAGGAAAAAATGGAGGTTACCGCGGCTCACTGGTAGCCCGGCCCCGCGGCGAGGGCCTCGGTCTCGAAGTCGAAGACGCCCTTCGTTCGGACCGGGAGGTAGGCGTGTGGCCTCGCGCCGCCGCGCTTGCCGGCGAGGAAGCCGGCGGCGCAGGCGACGAGGCCCGAGGCCGTCGCGAGCGCGACGAGCGTCGACGTCGACACGCCCGCGGCCGCGGCGTCCGCCGGCGCGTCCGTCACGGACAGGGACGTCGCCATGTAGCTCTCGAACTCGCCGCCGCAGCCGTCGAGGATGTACTTCTCCGCCGCGTTCGGGTACGCCGGGCAGAGGTACTGGCCGCACTGGCGCGCGTCGTGTCGCACGACGGGGTCCTTGACCCGCTTCGTGTCGTCGGCGCCGGCCGACGCCGCGAGGACCGCGACGACGCAGAGGAGCCGCGGCGCCATGGGGTCGGAGCGTCGGGGGCGGGGCGACGGCGGGAGCGGCGCCTGCGGCCGCGGAGGAGACGACGCGAATCGATGCTCCTCCGACTTGGCCGATCCAAATGTTGAAGGCGCCGCAAAGGGCATGGTCTAATTGATCGATCGCAGGGGCAGCCCTAATGGCCGACGACGACGACGACGCGCCGCCGCCGCCGCCGCGCGCCCGGGCCGCGACCACGGGCGACCGGCGCCCGCCGCCGCCGCCGCCGCGGTCGCGGGCGGCGACGGTGTCCGCGCCGCCGGAGGCGCCGCCGGAGCCGCTGCCCGCGCGGCGCAAGAGCGCCTTCGACGGCCCGACGCCGGCGCCCGGCGACCGGCTCGCGGCGCACTCCCTGGACCGCGTCGCCAAGGCGGAGCAGCTGCGGATCCACGTCGCCGCGCTGATGGCGCGCGTCGAGGGCAAGGAGGCGGAGAACGCGCGCGCGGCGTGCGCGGCGCTGAAACGCGTCCACCTCTTCCACCCGCCCGACGGGACGAACCCCGAGGACGGCGCCTTCGCCTTGTTCGGCGGGCTCGAGCTCCCGAAACGGTCGCGCGACAAGATCTGCGGCGCGGGCGATCTGTGCGGGGCCCTGCGGCTCCTGCGCGAGGAGGTCGAGGAGGCGCAGAGGCCCCTGCCGCTGCCCGGCGACCCGCGGCGCCGCGCGTCCCTCGCGACGCGCACGGCGGCGAAGCGCGACTTCGACGAGGGCACGAAGCGCTTCGAGGCGGCGCGCGACGCGGACCTCGAAAGGCTCAGGGAGGCGGAGCTCGGCTGCGCGCGGCTCCGGCGCGAGGGGCGCCAACAATTGCGGGATCTGCGGTTGGCGGAGACGCGCGTCGTGCGCGCGCGGGAGAAGAAGCGGCTCATGGACGTCACGGAGATCCGCGACGCGGACGCGTTCGGCTGGTTCCAGGCGCAAAAGTGCGCCGAGGCGCACCTGCGCCGGCGCGACCAGCGCGAGCGCGGCTTCCAGCACGAGTTACAGGAGGCCATGGAGCGCGCCGACGCGCTCGAGCTCCGCATGGACGCGCTCTGCGACGAGCGCCACGACGCGGCGTTCCGCGACGCGCTCGCGAGCCTCGTCGAGGCGACGGTCGACCCGAAAGGCCTCGGCGCCGTCGCGGCCGCGGAGCTCGCCGACGCGACGCGGGCCCTGGGCGCCGCGGCGGTCGCGCGGCGCGAGTCGCGGCGCGACTGCGCGAAAGTCGAGGCCGAGCTCGCGGCCGTGAAGGAGGAGGACCTGCGGGTCGCCAAGGCGCACCACGACGCCGCGGATCTCGAGGCGCGCGTCCTCGCGCGGGAGCGCCAGCTGAGCCGCGAGCGCATGGCGCGGTTCCGCGCGAAGGAGCGCGAGGACCACGCGCTCTTCGCGCAGTTCGAATTCGAGCTCCGCTGCGAGTGCGAGAAATTCGACCGCATGTACGAGCAGCTCCGCGCGGACGCAAAGATGGTCAAGGTCCGCGCCAAGGACGCCGCGGGGGGCGGCCTCGCGGGCGCGGAGGCGCGGCGGCTCCACGCGCTCCGCGGCGGCGGCGCGCCGGGGGACACGTCCGTGCTCTGCAGCAAGCTCGGCGTGCCCATCCCCCTCGCCCAGCTCGCCGAGCTCGACCGCAAGCGCGAGCTCGAGCGCAAGCTCCGGGCCATCGTGCCGGGGCCCGACGACCCGAAGACGAAGCAGAAGGAGGCGGACCACGCCGCGGCGCTGAAGAGCGCGTTCTCGGCGACGGACGCCGTCGTCAAGCGCCTCCGCGCGTCCCTCGTGGACCGCATGGAGGCCACGGACGTCGACCGCGTCGAGCTCGACCGGCTGCACGTGGGGGGCGAGGGGCACTAAACATGCTTTGAGGTCGGAGCGCCACAGCATGGAGAACCCCGCCGAGTATTCGCGTCCCATGCAGATCTTCTTGCGATACGATAAAACCTATCCGCTCGACGTGCGTCCCGACGACACGATCGACGTGCTGCGACGGCTGATCGAGGCGAAGACCGGCCTGCCGACCGCATACCAGAATCTCAGCCATGGTTGTAATCTTCTTGGGTCTGCCGCAGATATTCCCTCAGTATCTATCTTTGCCTTCGACGACACGCGAACGCTGGAATCTTATGGAATCAAACGTGGAGACACCATCCACTTTTCCTGCCGTGGTCCAGGTCCGCGCCAATACATCCCCGAGTCCGAGCGGAAGAAGCGCAAGCTCGAGTCGCTGCTCGACCGCGAGGACGTGTTCGCGCACGCGCGGCAAGGACGAGACAGCGCGCGCCAAGAGCGCGACAGCGCGCGCCGCGAACGCGACGGAGCGCGCCGCGAGCGCGATGCAGCCCAGAACGAACGCGACGGCGCGTGCGGCGAGCGGGACGCGGCGCGCGACGAGCTGGCTTCTGCCGTTGCTGCCGCGCGCCAGGAAGAACGGGACGCGGCCCAAGAGCGACTATCTTCCGCCGTCGCTGCCGCGCGCGACGAGGAGGCGCGGCGCCCGAACAAGTGCACGGACATTGACGTCGCTAGCCTGCGCACCATGCCCGACTCGGAGTTCGAGGCGCTCCAAGCCGCGGTCAACGCGGCCCAGCCCCTCATTCAAGCCGAACAGCAGCGTCGTTTGCAGCGGGAGCGCGGCGAACGGCTCTGCGTCATCTGCATGTCGGAGCCCAAAGCCTACGCGCCCCGCCAGTGCGGGCATCTGTCGTACTGCGCGGGCTGCCTGCCTCCGCGGGACGCGGCGTCCGGCTGCCCGATATGCCGTGCGAAGGTCGCCCCGGGGGACTGGATGCGCATCTACGCCTAAGTTACGTCGTCGCCTGAGGCGGCTGTGAAGGCGGCTCCGGGGTGCTGGGCACCGCGTGGGCGTCGGGCGACCGCGAGCGGCGGCCCCAGCGCGGGAGGAGGCGGCCGAGCGAGAACCGCGCCGGCGACCGCGCGCGCGGCGGCGGGGACCTCCTCGGGGACCGCGCCGGCGACCGGGACCAGAGGCGCGGCGCCGACGGCGACAGGGACCGGAAGAGGCGCTTCAGCGCGGACTCGTCGGCTCCCCGCGCCGGCCTCCGCGTCGGCGTCGACGGTGCGGCCGCCGGCGCCGCGGCCGTCGCGTCGGCGCTCGCCGCGTCCATCCCCCCCTCGGCGGGCCGCTTCTTTCTCGGCGACAGGGACCGGAGCATGTCCCGAACGTAGCGGACCGCGCGCCGGCCGCGGCTCGGCGTCGGCTCCGGCGCCGCGGCGTCGGGCCGCGGCGGCGCGCGGCCCTCGACGACGACGGGCTTCTCGAGGCGGAAGGCCTCGACGCTCGCCGCGAGGAGGGCGTCGACGTCGCGCTCGAGGCCGTCGAAGGCGGACGCGTCGAGCGCGGCGCCGGCGGCCGCGGCGCGCGCGGCCGCGGCCGCGGCCGGCCCCACGTCGACGGCCGTCGTCGACGCCGGCCCCAGGAACGCGTCCAGGAGGTCGGCGGCGAAGACGCGCGTCTGCTCCGGCGTCGAATCGACGTGGCGCCGCCGGTACTCGGCGATCGCGTCGAGGCAGAGCCCCGCGTCGCGGAGGGCAGGGGTACCGAGGAACCGCTTGAAGCGATCCCGCGTCGCGTCGGACGCGAGGAGCGCCGACGCCGACGGCGCGACGTATGGCGCCGCGGCCGGGCCGCCCGCGGGCGCCGGCGCCGGCGCGGCCGGGACGAGGTCGTCGGGCGCCGCCTCCGGGATCCGCGCCTCCGCGGGCGCCTCGGGGACGGCCGCGAGCCGCGGCGACGCGAGGCCCGCGACGTGGGCCCTGTTGCGCCGGAGGCGCCGCTTGCGCGCCTTGGCGCGCTTCCGCTCGCTTTTCTCGCGGCCCTCGTCGGGGCCCGCGCGCTCGTAGTCGCCCGGGACGCCGCGGGCCTCGAAGAGCGCGAAGACGGCCGCCTCCCGCGCGGCGAAGCGCTCGTCGAGGAGGGCCTCGACGTCGCGCTCGAGCTGCTCGAGCTCGGGGTCCGGCGCCTCGGCCGCCTCGGGCGCCGGCGCGGGCGGCGCCTCGGGGGCCTCGCGCGCGGGCGCGGGCTCCTCGGCCGCGAGTTCGAACGCCGGCGCCGCGGGCGCCTCGGCGACGGCGGCGGGCGCCGGGGCCTCCACGGCCTCCATAGCGGCGGGCGCCGGCGCCGGCGCTTCGAGGCGCCGCCGGTCGGCCTCCGCCGCCAGCGCCGAGGAGGCCGCGGCGGCCGCGGCGGCCGCGTCGCGGTCGCGCGCGGCCTCGAGCGAACGCGCGCGCGCGACGCCGCGCTGCTCGGCCTCCGCGGCGCGCATGGCCTCCAGCTCCCCGTCCCGCCGCGCCCGCTCCTGGGCCCTGCCCGCGTCCTCGAAGCCCCGCACGGCCTCGTCCGCGACTTCGTCGAGCAGCTCGCCGAGCGCGAACCGCGCGAGGGTCCCGAGCCGCGCGGCCGCGAGGCCGTCGTAGACGTCGCGGCCGTCGCGGCAGGCGCGGAAGGCGGCGACGGCCTCGACGGGCGCCGACCCGCCGCCGTCGAGGCGCAGGACGCGGTGCCGGAGGTCGTAGGCCGCGGCGCGCGCGGCTTCGACGGCGCCGCCGGCGCCGAGGACGTCGACGTCCCAGTCGACGCGCCGCAGCACGGCCTTGCGCTCGCCGCTCGCCCGCGCGTCGAAGCGCGCCGGCGCGCCCTCGGACGAGCCCCGGACCGCGCGGGCGACGCGCGTCGACCGCGCGGACTCGCGCGCCGTCCGCCCGCGGAAGTCGCGGTCGCCGTCGCGGGCGCCGCGGCGCCGCAGGGCCCGCACGAGGGCCACGTCGCCGACGGCGGCGGCGCAGGCGAGGGCCCTGCGGCCCGTGCGGCCGTCGAGGACCGCGCAGGCCGTCGTGCTGTCGAGCGCGTCGAGCGCGGCGCCCGCGGCGTCGGCGTCGCCGAGGCCCGCCGCGGGCCGCAGCTCGCGGGGCAGGCGCCGGTCGTAGGCCCGCGGCTCGGCCTCGGCCTCGACGACCGGGGCCGCGGGCGCGGGCGCGGCGCCGGCCGACGCCCGCGCGAGCACGGCGGCGTCGTCGTCCGAGTCGTCGCCCGCCGCGCGCCGCGCGGCCCGGAAGGCCGCGTCGCGGTCCCGCGCGCGCGCGAGCTTGGCGGCGAGGGCCGAGGGCGCCGGGTGCGCCGCGTCGCCGCGGTGGCGGCGCCGGCCCCGCCTCCTCGGCCGGCGCGCGCGGCGCGCGGACGACGGCGCGGCGCGGCG